GGTCTACTCCGAAAATGCCCTCTTTATGTCCATCCAATCCTTACAATCTGAGTCTGAGCCATTGAGCCTTATTGCAAATGTGGTAGCTGGCTCATCTTGCCATGGTCCTTCTCTTCCCAGAGACCTGCAGGGTTCCAGGCACAGGACTGAAGTCACCTCTGCCCTGTGCTCCTCCCCTCTGCGACCTGGTCAGGTTTCCACAGGCCGGGCTCCCAGTACCATGACAGGTCCAGTATCATGCCAGGACAGCCAGCTCTTGGAGCAGTGTGTGGGAAGGACAGCTGCAGAGCCTGGTGCTGTCAGAATATACATCCACTGAAATGAGCCTGCATGCCCTCTACATGCACCAGCTCCACAAGCAGCAGACCCAGGCCGAACCTGAGAGGAATATGTGGCACCGCCAGGAGAGTGATGACAGTGGGGCGAGTGCCCCTGAAGAGGGAGGAGAGGGTTCCCGGCACCCCCAACTTATCTCCCTCTCTGCCACCTATCCCTGTGCTGCTGCATCCCGGCCTGGAGCAGCTGAGACCGCTGCCCTGCAAGGGGGCTTCTAGAGGCGCTATGGGGACATCACAGATCCTGGCATAGTGCCCGGGCTTCCTCTCACTTCTCTCAGCTGCCCCTTGGCGAGTGGACTGAAGATGGACAGTCAGCATCAAGGCACCCAGAGCCCGTGCCTGAGGAGGGCTTTGAGAATGAGCTTCCCCCTCACGTGCACAAGGTCTAGACAATGCTGAGGAGGGTCCGTATGCCCCAGGATGGGGGTATCTATTGTCCGGCCATCCCGTCCACCTGCCATGGAGGGCTTCTCTGAGTGTTGCCTGGCTCCATGTACTAGTATATGGTGTGTCCATGCCTGGCCAAGACAGGTGCAAATACTGGGCTCACCACAGCCCCAGCAGAGAAATTGGGGGCCTAGGAACCAGAGCACACAGGACTCTAGCCTCATCCCCAGGAACTTACTTGGCTCAGAGTGTGGTGCTAGAAACGTCCCCAGCCCAGTCCCAGTGATGCTACCTTTGCACCTACCCTTACGAGTCTCCAGAGGACTGCCTACCACAGTAGCTGCCAACCAGGGAGAACCTGTGCCAACTGTGGAGTGGGGAGGTTGGGCCTGGACCCTCAACCTCTGTGGCCTCCCCCTCCCCACCCTGAATAGATGAGCAGCTCAGGCTGTGGCCCGTACCTCACCCTTGGTTCTCTCCCAGTGCTGCAGCCTGCTCACCCCTCCTTCCTGCACATCGCTGGCATGTGAGCTGCTTGCCATGGTTCTGTTCATTCGTTTCCCTTCTGTTCAGCTCTTGATTTGTGTTGGCATAGAGGCCCTAGCTCCCAGCTCCTCTCACCCTATGTTTTGACACTAAGGATGGTTTCTAAATTATAGGAGCAGGATGGAAATTTTTTACTACCCTGACCAATATTTTAGATAGGCCCCTGGGCACATATCAGATTCTTATGATATTAGACAGAGTCCCTGGCCAGCCAGAAACTCATGAGTTCAGCACTGAATGGGTTGTTGGGGTCTACTTGCCCCCCAAACACAACACTTCTAATTCAACTTACTGATCAGGGGATAGTAAGGATCTATGAAGCTCATTGCACATGGTACTCTATGGAAAAAACTGTCAACACTATAGAAGAGAACTCTGATAGAACATCATGGAAGGATCATTTCATGATGAACATTTAGAAGGATCACACCACTAAAGATGCTATTGTTACAGAGAAATTGTGAAAGCCATCTAACCTGAAACAATAAATTCCTGTTGGAAAAAAACTGTCCAGATGTTGTGCCTGACTCCACAGGATTTATGACAGATCCAATCAAAGAAACCATGAAAGAGATTGTGAATATGGCAAAAAGGGGGAGGGGGGTAGTGAAGAGTTTCAAGATACATATCTTGAAGAAGATAACTTGATGGAGATGAGTGCTTCTGAATCAATGCCAGAAGATGAAGAAGACATAAAGAAGCAGTGCCAGGAAACAAACTGCCATTAGACACCTGGCAGAAGGGTTCCAGTTATTAAGACTGCTTTGACTTCTTTTACAGCACGGCCCTTCTGTGGTGTGGGCACTGAAACTAAAGCAGACAGTGGAAGGTGTGGTACCATAGAGACACATTTTTAGAGAAATGAAAAGCAAAAACGTCAGAAATTACAATGTATTTCTGTAAAGTTATTCTGAGTGTTCCTGCCTCTTCTGCCTTCCCTTTCACCTCCTCTACTTCTTCTGCCTCTGCCACCCCTGAGACAGCAAGACCAAACCCTCCTCCATCTCCCCCTCCTCAGCTTACTCAGTGTGAAGATGATGAGATTGAAAACTTTTATGATGATCCACTTCCACTTAATGAATAGTAAATAACTCATGCCATACATTGAATAAACTTATCTGTTATGTATGTGTGTGAGTGTCTTCATGTGAAAATATAATAACTGTGTGGCAGGAACTATATGAGACATTTTTGGGTCATCTTCATTACCTAATTATTCATCATGAGCAAGACTTGTATTGAAATGATAACTTGTCCTTACATAGTCATAAGGTGAATGACATAAAATGTAAAATTAATAATGTGTTAGTTTTCTTACTGTTTTATAACTGCTTTAAAAATTACATTACTATATAATATGCTAATGTGTATCAGGCTATTATCATAGGTAATCAGTTTAAAAAAACTATAACAGTGTTTCTACTGTCTTATGAATATGTCTGTTACTATATGCCATAAAAATCTTGTAACGGTTCATTTATTAGTGTGCAGACTAGACTCTCTAGTATAATCATAGGCTGCCACCAAACAATTGTATTGCTGCTGCTTTATCATCAGAGCATGAATTGTTATCTGTAAATAAATGAGTTTCTTTTTCACATCTTTCATTTTTTTAAAAATATGTTTTTATTGATTTTTAGAGAGAGAGGAAGTGAAGGCAGAGATAGAAACGTTGATGAGAGAGAAATATCAATCGGCTTGCCTCCTGCTTGCAACCCAGGCATGTGCCTTGACTGGGAATTGAACCAGTAACCTCTTGGTGCATGGTTTGATGCTCAACCACTGAGCTACACAGGCCAGGCTTACATCTTTCTTTTTTTAAAATATATTTTTATTGATTTCAGAGAGGAAGGGAGAGGGAAAGGGAGATAGAAACAACAATGATGAGAGAAACATTGATCAGCTTGCCTCCTTAACACTCCACACTGCAACCCAAGCATGTACCCTGACTGGGAATCGAACCGTGACCTCCTGGTTCATAGGTTGCTCAACCACTGAACCATGCTGGCTGGGCACATCTTTCATTTTTGATGTCTAGTGTTACTAATACATATACTATCTACAGTGTTTTGTATCATGAGACAATATTGATATAGGTACTGACAGACAATTCATCTTGTAAATAGATGATGTAAAATTATGGTATCAATATAGTAGAGTACTATAAAAGTATTTCTCTTCCTTATGATTTTCTTCTTTTTAGCTTACTTTGCTGTAATAATATAGTATAAAAAACATATAACATGCAAAATATGTGTTAATTGACTTTATATTATTAGTAAGACTTTTAGTCAGCAGTAGGAATTTTGGGGAAGTCAAAAGTTAAACATGGATTTTCCACTGTGTGTGAGGTCTGTGCCTGTAACTCCTGTGTTGTTCAAGGTCCATCTGTGCATGTTATTGTAACTTCCTTTTTTTAGGTCTTACTTTTGAGGAGAGGGATATCATTGAAGGAGCCTTCCGTCAAGGTCAGATTCGAGTCTTGGCAGCAACTTCTACTCTTTCATCTGGGGTGAATTTACCTGCACGTCGTGTAATTATTCGGACTCCTATTTTCAGTGGTCGAACTCTAGATGTTCTTACTTACAAGCAGATGGTTGGTCGTGCTGGCAGGAAAGGAGTAGACACAGTAGGTGAGTTTGAATTTAATTTCAATAGCATTGCAGATGGACAGTGTCGTTCTACTTGAAATTTGATTAGTCCCTAGCAACCCAGTTCTCATTATGCTGTGTTTATTATCCAATGCACTAATGTCATCCTTTTGGATTTACTTAATACTTATAATTTAAGTCATTTTTCATATATTGTCAACCATTGTTTTTCTACTAAGGTAGAATTAAGATTTTCTTTTGTATTATATACTGTGAAATGATTCAGTACTATCTTAGTCAAGTGAATTATCACATTAGCTAAAATATTTTTAATTTCCAGTATAGTCTACTATTTAGTGTTAATGAAGGGAGTAATTTTCTTTCTTTTTTTCTTTAATTTTGATGAAATCCAATTTATCTTTTTTTTTCTTTTTAATATATCTTTACTGATTTCAGAGAGGAAGGGAGAAGGGGAAGAGAGAGATAGAAACAACCCATACTTGCCAGGGTGAAAGGAGTAATGTTCATGGATATTAGTTCTGTTTAGCTCTAAGAGAGAGTTCAAATAGTGATGCTGAGAGCTGGGAAGCACTCTCACACTTTGGGAATAGGAACTGTATCCCCCTGTCCATGTAGAACGGGGATTTATGCCAACTGGACTCTTTCTTTTTTAAAAATTGATTTTAGAGAGAGAGAAACACTGATATAAGAGAGTAACTTTGATTGGTTGCCTCCCATCGGGGATTGAACCCACAACCTGGGTATGTGCCCTGACTAGTAATTGAACCCACCTTTTGGTGTACAGGACTGTGCTCCAACCAACTGAGACATACTTGCCAGGGTGAAAGGAGTAATGTTCAT